CCTCTCGCCTCTGCTGCCTCCGCTGGCCGGCGTTGCCGAGGCGATGCCCCGGTCATCCTAACGGAGACAGTTTCCTGACGGAGCTGCCAGCTGGCCCCCGGCGACGTTTGACTCGAGTATGGACCTCACGGAGAGGAACCTAAGGCCGCTTGAACGTGCTCGTGTGCGACACCCCCGTGTGCTGCTCCCAGCGCCCCAGGAGAAAAGGACTAAAGGATTCAACGGGAAAAGGAAAAGGTCAGTACCTCCAGCACCTGACATCAAACCTGCCCGTGCTTACAAGAAACCCCGATTAGAGCCTCAAAACTCAGCCCCTAAACTTAACCCTAGAGCTGCGCACCTTCATCACGCAGTACTGGAAAGAAAAACCGCTCTGACGCTCTGAAACGGGAAAGGGAGAGGAGGACTAAAACTGTACGTGCTCTGGTATACACTAGTAAGATTCCAGCATCTCTCCTAGTAAGTGAAGGAAGGATCTTGAGAAGCCAGACTCAGAACAGAGAAAACTGCAGGAAGAACAGACTGGCGAGGCAGCTTTTACACCTGTAGATGTGGAATAGACCAGCACGCCCAGTCTCTGGCTTGCTGTTGCTACTTAGGTTTATTAAAAGCGAACGCAGCTGTACAGGAAGGCAGAGATACAGCTCCCTGCACCTACACCCCATTCTCACACACATCAGCCTGGCCAGAGCAGCCATTTCTGATGTATTTTCACTTTGCTACCTCCTTCCTCTCCTTGCCTATACTTCAACACCACTTGAAGATAAAACAGTAGTACCGTCATATCTTCATACCTTTTATACTCTTTCAGTGAGACATCCTTAAGTGACCTGAGAGACTTGGTCTGGGCTGCTAGAGTTAGAAACAGGATTGAAATCTCTACTTTTATTGCCTTCCAGTGTTTCCTATGGAAATGGTGATCAATTTAATAGTTGGACACAGTTTTCATTAGTGTGTCTACAGTCTTGAAGCCCAAACCAGGGAAGGGATGGCCAGACAAGCTCCATCCACATCAGTGGAGGTAGAGTTAGGTTACCGTTGACAACCTCCTCCTGAAAATGGACACGGACACAGACAATGTACAGCCGTGAGTAGCGTTAAGTGAAAAATCTATGAGAAGTTCAGTCTTTAAATTTATCTGCTCCCTTTGGCATAAACTCCTCCACTACATATTATGCATGGTAAAACAGGAATGTTACTTAAAAGCCAAAGTACCTGACTCATGATATGTTGTATCTATTCTATCACAGCAATCTGTCTTACTCCTGTCAAAACCACAGGTCTGTCATCCAGAGAACAAACATTCTGGAGATATATACATATTTTCAATATACAAATCAATGCAGGCTTAGAGTTAATACTAATACATAGCACATGAAAAAAACCCAAACCATCCTAAAGATTCAAAACAATATCTGAAAAATTTTACTTCACATGCTTTTCAAAACTCTCCCTCTCATCTTGCTGCTGTGAGTGCACATCTGTCTCCATATTACAGATACTAAGGAAATGTAGGTCTAGAACCCTGAGCCAGTTTTTAGATCTGCTTCTTGCAGTGTACCAGTATGAAGCTTCTTTAATGTAAGTGATAATTTATATGACATGTTGCCAATAGGTAAATCTGTTTTGACTTTCACATTTTTATTAAACAATAAAAAATTAAATTAGTAAGAGACAAAATTCAAGGAGAGCTAAGATAACCACAGGCCAACTGGTTCCACACAGGTGGCAATGCAGATACTTCTATAGTCTCTCATCAAATAGTCCAGAAATGAGTATGCTGAAGCTGTGCCACTTTATATAAAAAAAATAAAATCACTGTTTCTCAGTTCCAGCTTATGCTCACAAGACAGATGTAGCCTACAAACTCAGCAAATCAACTGTGTGAAAAAGAACAATCAGACATGGTAAAACACAGCTTTTTGAAATAAAATACATTGAGTAAGTAATTGATAGCACACATATCCAGTATGCACAAAGCTTCTCAAGGATTCAAACGGGTATGAGCATCTTCCACATTTTTATATGTAATGGCATCAAGTTTCACTGTGGGCTGCAATATTGAGGGCATGCCTTTAGGCAGGCATGCTCATTTAAAATGAGTCATTCAGTGTGGAGACAACATAACAAAAACATCCACAAACTAATGAATTGTGAAAGAACTATAACATTTCCCCCCTCAGGCTTCCACCTACTAAAGTGTCACAAATAAAGTTAATATCACAAAAATGATTTAACAAAAGAATTAAACACTAAATGACAGTCAACTCTTTCACAAGTCAATCACTTGTTTTAACTGTTTTTATTTGAAGCAATACTAATCAGTACAGTCACCTTAGAAAAAGATCAACAGAAAAAGACAGTCCAGTCTTGATTTTTATAACTACTGCAACTACAGATAAGATACCTCTATGACATGGAAATTGCAAACTAGGTTTTTCTTCACATATATCATTCTTCAGAATTGAAGGGGTTTTAAAACTAAGAAGAGCTCACCCCTTCCCCCTTGCTTCCCCATAAATTGGTTTAAAATACAAACAAATCAAATAAATAACCAAGCACTTGCCATGCAATGAATCAGAGGGAAAGATTAGCCTGGCAAAAAGAAGTTGCAAGCAGCCTAGCTTCCTCATCCCTTACATCACAGTTGCTGATCTGTGTTTTGCATTTTGGCACTGGAATGAGTGCATAGCGCTTTGAGGGCCAGATTTTATCTCCCACCCACCTAGAAAGTAAAAATGAAAAGCCAAGTGTTGCAGAAAAGAATATTAAATAGAAGTCACTATTAGTCACTTCCACATCAATCTAATTTCAAATGAGGAGACTGCTTACATTAATGTTTTCAGGTCTAACTTGTGCACTTACACCAGGCCTTTGGAGTCTGGCCACAGACCTCTCAGTTCATCTACCAGGCACTCTCTGTACTTCCTCTCCCAATATCTTAGTGAGGATACTGTGTTTCAATTAATGCTTCCTTAGGTACCTGTTGAGTTATGGTACATGTTTATACTGTGCAACTGAGGACAGTGCAGCTGGATTCTGTCAGCTAGGGTAGTACTACCCCTGCCCCCCCCCCCCGGATACACTGCAGTTTTGCTGGTCTCATTAGGTGTCCCTAGGAGGTATCTGTGTTAGCACAAGGGTGCATATGAGCTCCTTATCTTTGCCTCTCAAAGGGGCTAAAGCCTCTGACAAGCGCGCAGTGGACCAAATGCTGTTACTACTCTCAGACATTAACTGCCACCCCTCTGACCAACATTGTCCATCCGATTAATGCCTAATCTGCTTGTGAATCAGCTCCTGAGCCACCACAGCTTTCAGCACGGCATGAGAAAATTAAGAGTTCTTGAGGGTGTCAAACCCCTAATTTCACTGGAAGTAGCATGCTGCTGGAACAGCTACCTCAGCTATGAAACTAGTTCATCAGAAGAATGCTCAGTCTCTGTGCTGCTCTTTTCTGCATACTGTATACATACCCAGGACCTCAAAATACCCTTAAACGGGAAGCTTTAAGAACTGCCTTCTGTTACAGAACAGTTCCACTGCAATATACCAACCACCAGTGGGATTCAAAGAGTAGGAAGAAAAACAGAGGCACAAATTCTTTGTGAATTTCAAGAAGTCAGTATATACACTGATAAGAAAATAATTGCTTTTGGTGAAAACAAGAAATTTAGCTTAAGGAAATGTTGGCCGAAGTGATTTCAAAGGATAAATTAAACAGAACCACTTCTACTCTACTTCAGTTACAGTAGAACTTCCACTGGTGTTTCTGCTTGCATTTTATAATTGTGTACATTATTTAAATAGTATGAAACTTCCAACAAAGCAGTACCAGTGTAGTAACCTAGCATATGTACAAGGATTAAAAGTTTCCAATTATGTTTAATTTGTCAATAACTAAATAAGTATTTCATATCTCCTGCAAAGTTGGAACCTGTTAGAACAGTTACATGTGTACTGGTGAAATATGGCACCAGAGGTTAGTTATAACATACTCCAAGTATACTCTGAATGCAGAAAAAGCTGGGGTTTTTTTAAATGACAGTTCAAAAATACTCAGTTCTAAATAGTCAGAGAAGCAGGCTCACAGTGAGCCATAAAGGGCCGCTAACTGCTTCTCTAAAATGAAAAGATACTTTAACTGTTTTTAATATGCAGGAAGTCACTGCTAAGTAAACTAAAGTTGTACAATGTTTCAGAATTTAAAATGCTGCACGATACAAAGCAGTCTTCCTACTTTTCACATTTCAAAAGAAATTTTCATTAAACAATCCGACAAATCTTCAGAGAGATATAAGACCACATTTTACAGAGAACTATCATGTACTGCTTAATAAATTACATGCAAATTCTTACCAGAATGCCACTGCTTTTGAAGATGCCATATCCATTGCTATCCTTAAGCTATCCGTTCATATCCATCATTAGTACCCCTGCTTGCTTTGCAGTCAAGCTTCGGACCAGATTTCTGACAAACATTCCACACCTACCAAAATGGTTTCTAGAAAGCAAATTAAAAGCTGTAAAACGTGGAAAACAAACCAACAATTTGCAAACCACTGCAAGTGCAATGCAAACACAGTCAATATAAAATTCATTCTGCAATGTTCATTGTATTATGCTGGACTGTAATATAACCACAGTTATAACATTATACTTTTAAATCACTGGTTCACCTGTAGAAAAACTGCAAGAACAAAGTTCATCTTATCCTGTTAAATCTCATATACCTTATATCATTAAGGGTAGTAATTTGCCTAGAAGTGATTTCTTTTTTAAAAAAGCAGGACAAAGTAATATTAATCTTAATCAAATTTAAGGCCTTCTAAGGACTAATGAAAATTGAAGTTCCATTATGCTGGACAGCGCATAAACAGAACAGTAAAAAGTCCCCTGATCATATAAAAACCAACAGTCTAAATAGATAAGACAGCATGGGGGAAAAGTTCACACACAGCACAAACAGCATGATTGTAGTAAATGTAACAGTAGTTCTAGTTTGGGGGTGGCTTTTGCTTGCAAAGAAAATGGAAGGAGATACAGAATAAGGAGGGCAGATGGGGGGGGGGAAGCATGAAGTAAGCAGGATTGAAGCAGATGTAAAAAGGCAAAATGCATGGAAAGAGGGTGGAACAAACAGTCAGTGAGCATAGGACAGAGAACAGCTTATTAAAGCTAGTGAATGTTCTCTGAATGGTCAAAGGTCCTGGGGCTTTTGGCTCTTTCTGTTGCTGCTAGTTAGTCCCTGACTAGGTCCTTTCTTTACTGCTCCCAGGCTTAGAGTAGAAGGGTTATACTTTATACTGATTTTCAGTCTTGTCCCCATCATGATCCCCTCCCCACCTTTTAATATGGAATCAAGATCTCTTCCTCACTTGTAGCTTTAAAACAGGAATCATCTGAATCTGCTCAACATTATAGAAGGAGTGCATGCAGATCATTCTTATTTGCAAGACTTTTGTAATTCTTTCTTAGGTAACACATACTGGACAAGATTCATTTACACAGCAGAAAAGCAAGGCAAGACATTGATCTATAAAACAGCAGTTGAAAGTTTGATCAGAGTACATAAAACATTGTGTTCCATACTGAACAGCAGAGAGTTAAACTAGAATTCAGGGTAGGGACAGTTGCTCTACGGGCTCTGGTGCATGCAGCCAGATGGAAATATTCTAACCATTCACAATAAACTGTACTTGTTCTAGTATTAACTGAATAGATTAGGCTTATACTAGAAAGGAGGATGCATTTTTATTGTTAAAACACTCATCATTTATATCCTTTAGCATAGATGGAGAATATTCTGTGTAAAGGGCAAGTTTGCCCACAAAGGCAAATTGAACCTATGAAACTGAATTTTTATGGGGTTCTATGGATACGGGCAAATAAACTAGAATGGAGTTGCTTTCTTCTGGTATAAGGTTTCCAATACAAATAGTATATACAGGTGTAGCAAGTGAAATATAATTAAAAACAATTTCTGGAATTGGGACAGCCCTCCTAGGTTGTTTCCTTCTATGCTGAAATAAACTACCAATAAATACAGTTTTATACTGATACAGCCCTATTCACACTATGGGGAAAGATGGCTGATACTTTAATTATGCCAGTACAGATAAAGTAGCAAAACGTCTGATAGAGGACTTAGTGTCTCATGTATAGTTCATTTACCTACTGCAAGATAGCTGCAATATTCCTAGCGCTGGCAAGGCTTTAGAGTACTAATTCTTAATTTAAAAAATAATCCCTCCTGTGTAATTCCCAGAACATCATCAACCTTTGAAATGTTAATGGCATTACTAGAGACAAACCAGACTTTGAAATCCTGCCAGATTCTGTCAGGAGTTCAGCTGACAAGAGTTTACTGCGTGCCACTCAGGTGTCACTATTCTTTTCATAATACTTTTTCTTTTAAAAATAACTTTTTATCAGCAACAATGCTGGGTTAATTTTGAATTTTAGTAAAAACACTGGTGAAAACAAAGTGTGTGTTTTGGCTTGAATAATATACATAAAAGCAATTACTCCTCCTCAGCCAGACTACAGCTTTGGAAATTATCTCTTGACTTGACAATGGCAATAACAGGCAAGTAGTTATGCAGAAAAATCCCTTTAGTTCAGCTGCACAATAGTACTTCCACCACTATATATACTTTATGTGGTTGTTTGAAACAGCATCTGCAAATTCAGGCTGTGCTGTTAAAAAACCCAACCTTTTTGCTTCTAAAGGAACAAACTTTAGTTACTACCCCAAGTATTTCTTAAAGGAGAAAAGAGCTAAAAAATAATAAAATGTTTTAACCAGTGTGTTCCCCTTAGGACACTATGAATGGTATCTCCCATACAACTGAATTGAGACACCAGAATCACCTGATAAAACAAGAATGTATTTTCCTCCTTACTTAGGACTTGTTTTATAATAGTTTCCAAAACACAATCAATATAAATGCACATACACATGTTTTTGTCTCTCTCTCTCCCTCTTCCCTCAAAATAAGACCCCTGACTCCCAGAAATCTTTGGATAAAGTGAAATATATACAATAGTAACTTGCTTATCAAAGGTGAACAGTATATGCTTCATTAAGAACTGTATCAACCATAACTTAGCTAGCACATAGACAGTACTGATATCAGTTATTAAAAAAAAAGTAAATTAAATTTTTTATAACTTCAACTTGTTCTAATCTTAGGGATGGATCTGTGTTCCAAATGGAGGTATTTAAAAGTTGGGGTTTTTTGTTTGCTAGTTGGTCAGCCTCAGTCAGAACAAAAAAATTGAAAATAAAAATCAAGAATACGATCCCTGTAGTAGTATCATCCTGTCATAAATAAATGGGTACAGAAAATCTTGTCAAACAAACATGACAACTCTATATAGAAAGATTATCTCATTACAAATAGTTAACAGAGCACTTCAAGGACCTGTCGGTAAATGTAGTCTACTGTATATAGGAATTGTAATTTCTTAATGCTATGAAATTCTGTAACAAAGTAACTTAATCTAAAATGTTACTTACAGAAAACATCTTAAAGGATGCAATACTGTAAGTTATTACTTTTAAAATCAACTTCATGCTCATTTTGACACACACAGAATTCTTTAACAATGGGCTATTTTTTCCAATAGACTTGGAGGGAAAATTGAGGAAAATAGTTCTTTTTCCTGGAGATTCCAAAGCTTTTTCCCCCAGATCACTCGGCCAAGATTCTCTTTCCAATCCTCAGAGGTCTTCCTTTCTTTATTACTAAGATGAAATTAATCTTGGATATATATATTCTGCTAAATAAAACATGACTAGGAAATTTATTCCACATAGCACTTGCCTCTGCCCATGTTGTGCCCCTAGATTCTATTCATTACCATTTGTTGTGTGAAGGATAGTCAGATAAGCAAGGTTGGAGGGTGAAAACATATATGACTGATATCTTCAGGATTAAATGATCCATTAGGAAGTTAGTCCACATCAAGTTGCAATGAAAGCCACTGTCTCAAAAAAGGGAGAAGAGAAAAAGCAGTAGCAGAACCAGGTCAGACTCTAAAGTAAACACCCTCACCTGGTGTTTAGAAGCAGAAGGCTGTGCCAAAAACGGACACTGCTTAAAGAATTATGATCTGTGGATATGGATGTAATTTACCTTGACTTTAGCAAGGCCTTTGACACCGTTTCCCACAGCATTCTCCTGGCAAAACTGGCTGCTTGAGGCTTGGATGATCGCATGCTCTGCTGGGTAAAAAACTGTCTGGATGGCCGGGCCCAGAGAGTTGTGGTGAACGGAGTTAAATCCAGTTGGCGGCTGGTCACGAGGGGTGTCCCCCAGGGCTCGGTTTTGGGGCCACTCCTGTTTAACATCTTTATTGATGATCCAGACGAGGAGATCGAGTGCACCCTCAGTCAGTTTGCAGATGACCCCAAGTTGGGTGGGAGTGTTGCTCTGCTCGAGGGTAGGGAGGCTCTGCAGAGAGACCTGGACAGGCTAGAGCCATGGGCTGAGGCCAGCTGGAGGAGGCCACCCTTCGATTCCTGTGTTCAGTTTTGGGCCCCTCACTAAAAAAGGACATTGAATGACTCGAGCGTGTCCAGAGAAGGGCAACGAAGCTGGTGCAGGGTCTGGAGCACAGGTCGTAGGAGGAGCGGCTAAAGGAACTGGGGGTGTTTAGTCTGGAGAAGAGGAGGCTGAGGGGAGACCTCATCGCCCTCTACAGCTCCCTGAAAGGAGACTGCAGAGAGCTGGGGATGAGTCTCTTTAACCAAGTAACAAGTGATAGGACAAGAGGTAACGGCCTCAAGTTGCACCAGGGAAGGTTTAGACTGGATGTCAGGAATCATTTCTTTGCAGAAGGGGTTGTTGGGCGTTGGAATGGGCTGCCTAGGGAGGTGGTGGAGTCCCCATCCCTGGAGCTGTTTGTCAGTGTTAGGTTAATGTTTGGACTGGATGATCTTCAAAGTCTTTTCCAACCTAGATGATTCTGTGATCATCCTTATCAATGAGCTAGAGAGTAAATCAATTCTGGAAGCAGTCATGAAAACAACTGGTAGAACTTAGCAAAAAGGTAAGTCTCCAACCACAATCTTTAACTAACGCAAAGCAGAGGATATTTCATCCATCTACAAAGTGAAATATTTTTCCCCTTAATTTAAGGGTGTCTTCAACTGAACCACTGTCCTATTGAAGCATCTGGAGCCCCAAAGCCAGGTCTCTAAACGATTGCTGTATTCACAGTGCTGCATAAAATTAAATGGAAGTCACTGACTATTCCTCTCAGATGTACTGATTGGAGTCCTCATTTGATACTAAATACAGTATTTGTATACTGTAAGATGGTATTCAATAACATATACAATTACTCATTCCTCAGTAGGATAATGAAGTTCATCTTCAAGGCACTACACAGGCTTCAGCACCTCTTCTTGGTGGGCATGTCAGGAATGAGATGTCCTCTCCTGGAAGACCCTGAGACTCACTTAGCCATATTGCAGATAAGGCAGAAGAGTCTCCTCCTTCAAAAATGTAATCAACCATCTTGGTATGACAATGTTAAAATGGTGGGATCCAAGAGGACTGTATTTAAGCTGGATGTTGATGATCAGGACAACAAATTTCTGGGCCTACTCTTGAGAAAATGTCAGAATGCTGGGAACCAAAACTGGCGTAGTGTGTTGGGTGGTATCCAGCCTTGCTATTCTTGTTAAGCCCTAAGGTAAGCTATACATCAGCTCTCACAGCCAACAGGCCCTCTCTTGGGTATTCGTGAATCAGAAGCCCCAAGAACAAGGTAAGATATGTCTGAGACAGTGGAGAGGAAGCTGTGTTCCAAAGAGGAATGGAACAAACATATTCCATAATACTAATACATCAGTGTGCTAGGCACAAAAAGAGGTATGTGAACAGTTTATATACTGCTCAGATACCGTGCTTCTAATTTATAGTGCTAAAGGCACGTACTTACCTACAGTGATATGGGCTGTCTCTTAAAATCTATCACTTCTCTAATGATTGAATGTGCTGCCTGCTATGGGATTTATTTTTTTTTTTAATTATCAAGAACTCTTAGTAATTGTTCCAATTTTACATAACTTTACAAATTCAAGAGGTGCAGAAGTTGGCCCACAGTTGTTTAGTATACCCATGACAAGAATTAGAGGGATTACTGAATTGTCTAAGGGAAAAAACCCCAAATCTGTATTTTTCATTACCCCTGAAGAAACAGGAAACTTACTACAAGCATTTGAGATTTCTTCCACTTACTTAAATTAATTAGAAAGCTACTATGAAAACAATTGTGGTTTAATCGTTTTGTTTAACCAATTGCTTGGCAGGAATAGTTGCTTACTTTCTTAAACCAGATGATCTACTTCAGATGCACCTTTTTCTCTCACAGTCTATATTGCCTATAGAACAACATAGAAGACCCTAAATATCTCATTGATGTGAATGGTTCATTGAAGTTAAATATTTTAAAAAGGTAATACATGTCTTTCTTTGATTTGTTGTTGTCTTCTCGCTTAAAATACTCTAAATTTTTTATTCTTGATCTTGATCATAAGATACTCATCTTTTACAGTATCTTTCTGTTTTTGAAGAAGGAAGTCTATAGTTGAAATTGGGTAAAAAAAAAAATATCCCCCAAGCGTTAATGTTTTCTCTTTGAAACACTATCATGCAGAATAAAAACTTTTTGTTTTTTAAAGGAAAGTTTCTTGCTCTTTTTCTACCAGTTACAGAACTATTTTCCACCTTTTCTTTCCCCTCCCCCCCAAAAGAGAGAGTGAAAGAGAACCCTGGGTGATAACCTAGGACAGATTACTGGAGATGGTCATAACAGTTCCTGTTCCCATTGTGCACCCTGTTCCTCTCCAAGTTTCCTGCCTCCACTACTGAGGCAGCAGTACCTGCTGCACCACTGTACTTTCCAAGAGCAGAAATAAAGTAAAGCAGCACCAGTTCCGGGTGATTTTAAGGCTCTAGGTTACAAATTACATCGAGGTGTTGCAAGAGAAACAATTGAGCTACACTTTTCCTGGATGAAGTGGGACCCAGCTGGAGCAGGAAACAAACCAAGTTAATCCCATGATCTGAACAGAGCCCTAACACTTATTCTAATATAGAAGCTGCTAGTTCTAAATTATGCATGCATTACCAAAAGACATCTCTGTCTTTGCAAAAAATGGAAATTGCAGTAGCTGAACTAGCTACACACTCATAGCTACATGTTGGAAAACAAGACAAAAATGTGGCTGGGAATAGAACTAGACATTCATGTTCTGTGCCAGTAGAGAAGTCCTCTAGAAACAGTACTGCTGAAATGTTAGATAACTATATAATGCTCAAACTGTAACTAACAAATCCTCTCACAAATATAGGCAAATCTATTTTAAATGTAAATGTTAAGTGGAAAATATTTATAGTTTAAGTTGCACCCTTTGATACTTAATTATCATAATTCAAAAAAGAAGAAACCTTTAAGTTCCTCCTCCAAAGAAGTTATTTACCTGAACTGTAGCTTGGGAGTCCCCAGTAGTCAGTCTGTTCTGAGATTCTCATCCCACTGAATGTCAAAGACCTAGTATTTCAAGGATGGGATTTCAAAATCACTTAGTGATGACTTAACTTTGTCTCACTAAAGATAAACCAACCTTTATTCCCACTCAGGTCAGCTCATTGATTTCACGGAAAACACATTTAGAAAGCAGAGCTGAATATTTTCAGAATTCCCACCCATGAGATAAAAAAGAAAAAACCCAACAAACAGAAACTGATATAAACCATTTGAGACTTCTTGATGCATGATAAATCAAGTATTTTTGTATATTTGTGTGAGTTACAAGTCACTGAAATTACTTTTAACTGCTCACTGAAATGTTATAACTTCAAATACCTGACCTTATTACTTTTCAGATACAGGACTCTCTTATTTGTGGAGAGTTCAGTTTTGTCCATGTACAGGAGGTTGTACCAGGAACAGTAATAATTCTGTGGAAAGATTCAGAAGAAAAATACACTTGCCGCTCTAAATATCCACATTATAGACATCATAAGCACTACTGTTGAATAATACTGAACTTGGTTTATGTTTTTCTCTTGTCCTACTTTGGCTTCTATGGAACCGTGTTCAATAAAAGTTTGACTTTATGTACAGCCAGAATCCATTCTCATTAACAAGAAAACCTAATATGCTTAAGAATATTGGTCTTTAAATATATTAAAAATAAAGTCAGATGCATCAAAGCCCTCAGTTTTTATAACTTTGTAGCATTTATAAAAAAGCATTTTAAAATTGGTATCTGGTGGACACTATTCATAGCATTCATACTGCAAAATAAAACCAGAAGATTTAAGAAGTATCTCAGAATGAATTCTCTGTTGTGATGATTTCACTGAAATGCATTTCAATTTCTTGAACTTCACTGAAGCAACAGCCTCCTTTTCACTACTGCTGTCCTATTTTGGCGTACCCTAACAGTTCAAAAGCTTTTCTTAACTAGTTTCTGATTTTTAATTATCCATTACAATTATAAATAATTTATTTAAAAGAATTATCTTCATGTTTTCTCTCAATATAAGGGGACTAATATAAAGGCTTACACTAAAAAAGTACTGTTCTTTCTGTCACTGAAGTTCTTAGGCATCAGTACTCTATCAGGATGGCATCGATATGAGGTTAAGCATGTGCATAAAAACACATAGAACAGGAGCCTCTGTTTCTGGACCCAAAAGATATGATAGTATTACATTCAAAAAATCTACTACTTTTCATTCTGGGGGATTTTTAGCAAGACAAATGGTATTGCTAAGGCTTTGCAGATCATATATGCATCTATGAAGACATTTTTATATGTGCAAGGATCCAGTAATTTAGCAACAAAGTAGACAGGTATCATAAAAAGGTTCTAGATTTGTGTGCACCACTGAAAAGGCTGACAAACTGTACTCTGCCTTTCTGATAAGAAACCGTTTGTTGTTTTGTTTTTCTTTTTTCAAATTATTACTTGTTCGACTGCTGGTTGGAACACCAAACCCATAGCCAGTGAAAGAACCCCCTGCAATTTGCAATGAGAACACTGCAAAAGAAATTCAAGTACCTGTTTAAATATTCATAATTATCTTATTATTCTACTGCTAACACTTCTTATTGAATGTACATTGCATACAGTTTCCATGCAGAATATGACTATAAACCAACTTCCGCTGTGAAGGCATTATTATGTTATAAAAATAATTGAATGTCTAGAAAAAAAATAAACACAACTTACAGTAACCATTTGTCTAAAACTAAATACTAATCCAGTGTTACCATGCCAAGATTTAAGAAAAAATATTCTGTCAGAAGATTCAAAAGCTGAATTTTTTTAAAATAGAAAATTTGAAGATATTCCAAGTTGTGAAAACCTGACCTTGACTTCCTTTTTATTTCGCCTGAATGATCTGAGACTTAATTATTAACACTTACAACCAAAACAACAACTCTGGTTTAGCAAAATACTAAATTCAGAAAATAAACCTATAAGCAAACTCTGAAAAAGAACGTCTAGCAAAGGGAATTGGATCATTATGATCATCAGAATCTCCATCCTCAACAGCTACTTCAGATTTTCTAGACAACGGTTTCTCTCCATGCATCTCGTAAGTATGTGTTGCTACTGCATGTGCCTTTTCATTTCAAGATACTTCATGTGTCAAATGACCAACACAAAGGCTGCCAGGCTCTGACATGACACTGCATGTATGCTAATGTAAACAAAATGCCAGTCTACCAAAACCAAATAAGTACAATTTTAAAAATAACAAGAAAAAGTACTTACCAGAACTTGACAAAGCACCTCTTTGCTGCATCGGTACTATTTCCCAAATGAAGACTCTTCCTTGCAAATAAGTGTGCTTTCTTCAGATCATTATTCTGTGGCACAGGCTCCTCCAAATGGCAGAATGAATGTATTGCCATTATTGAAAATTTACAGATAATCTGAAGAAATTTCACTGAAAGCAAGAAATACAGTGTCTTTATTTTGTGTAAACTTGCTGAAAAGACTTTAAAGTTCTTTACTCTGTCAGGTTTTCAAAAACTTGTCATTTACCAATAGCATTTAAAAACACATGGAGGATATGTATATGCACTGGTTGATAAATTGATAAATTAATTAAACCTGATGGACAGTTCATTTGAGCAGAAATGCCCAGGTAAAGAACTTCCATTTAATGCTACCATGGAGCACCATTTCAATAAATTTTACAGCTGTTTCTTTTACAGTGGGCACACTGCAAAAAAGTTTTCAGCAAGGCATCTATAATGATACATGTATTTTTGCAGAACATTTACTTGTAATTTAGAATTATTTTCAAGTAGTTCAGGTTATTCCTTCCAGCGTGAATTCTTTTGTAACTGCAAATACTGAATGACATCTTACCATTATTACATTAATATACCCAGCCTTAGAAGATTGCTCATAACTTTCTCTGCTTTTAGAGAATGTGTATAGTATTTTACTTTGGATACTTATTTGAAGACAAGATAAATCACTTCTAAGATAGATTCTAGAAGCATAATTTGATGAACATGTATTTTGGTAAAAGTGCCAGTTCAAACAGAGATGACCCTCCTGCTGCTTATACCCATCCTTGTGCCACATTTGTGCAGATGTATCTGCTGGTGGAGCCACTCGCTATATGGTATTGGGGAACTAACTTGGGTTAAAAATTGCTGCTTGCCATAGACTCCTCTTGAAGTCAGGATCAATTGTCTGATCCAAGTCACCGCATAATGACAGAAATGACTGTGCTAATACAACAGGAGGGAAAATGAGGAAACAAGCACATAGCTAATTGCAGCTACAAATGTCAGCATTTCAGAAACTACTATTGTCACCTAAGTGTAAATTACAAGTAGATCACAGCTTTGCCACTGCAAGCAGTATAGGGTATTCTTGGACTAATTTATCTTTCACTTCCATCTCTCCATCCCAGTTCACTGTCCTCACAATTGCACTAAAAATCAGTGCTTGTAGGGCCACACCAAAATTTATTGTTAGTTTCCTGCCAAAAGTCATACACTGTAAATTTAAGAAGGTGGAATGAACTACAGGTTGCACATGAGTATATGAAAATATATACGTGGGTGCCATCTCTCTCTTTTCCACTAACAGAACCAACTTAGATCATTGTTTAGACTGCTAAAGACAGAAGAGATTAATGCTTTTCAATGTGTCTGCCTAGGTTATGCCTGACCCCTTCTAAGTTTTGAATCCACTACCTGATTTCAAACAGTTCTGTCAAAGAGGAAGATTCAAAAGTCATTTACAGTTTATTAAGAATTCAGAGATTTCAGAATTCCAAGTACTCGGCAGATGGATAGAGAAGACCAACCCACAAACTGTCCATACTGAAGGAGAGGCTGCAGCATATGCCCATGTTATTAGAGAACATACATGTAGGTAAGAGACACACCTTATAAATATGCCAGCTGCAGCTAGTACTTTTCATTACCTCTAAGGTACAACTGCATAGGAAACTAGGTGCTGTTAGATCTTGTGCTCACAGAACTACTTGACTATCCATTTAGTATTGAAATCTCCTTACGTGGTATTAAAATAGGAGTCCTTGGTCTGCAGGTTCCAGATCTGCTCCTTGTGTTTAGTTTAAAAGTACAGTACATACAACACTTGATAGCTTCCAGTCTTCTGGCACAGCATCTCATCCTAACAAGATGCTCTCTTCTTTGCAGTTCAGCCCCTTCATCCATTAGAATGACTGACTGAATGAATCACATCGAGTCCTCATGACTTAGGGGTTTTTAGCACTTTATTCTAGCATTCAATCTTTTGATTCTTTAATCCACTAATCAGATAATGCCCTGTCAACATTATTTTAAAATAATAAAATGTCCACAACATCTCTGTGGTGAAGAGTAGTGTGAAAAGAAATCACTCCTTCCTAGTGCCTCTTCTTCCTTTTATTTGCTTTCTGTACTCCCTAAAAGTCCAGGAAATATGTCAAGTCCTTCACATATTACTTACTAAGTTACCATCCTTTTCTTTTTAAATAAAAGCATACAAACGACCAAGTATTTTCCTGAAACATGCTGCAACCAATAAGACATGACAACAGCTATATTCTGTTACTGTGGTTAATTGACATATTTGAAAGCGTTAAAATGTTACATAACAACATTTCTGGTCTCATGCATGTAAAAGTGATTGGCCTTTTACAGCCATTAATTTTGAAATTTCCTCCCTTATCACCAACTTCTTGCTTAAAGTAAATAATTGACAAGTAAATGAATGAGAACAGTTAAAAGAGGTATCAATACATACAAATTTTATCTATGAGAAGGAAATACATATGAATTCCCCACACATCTTACTAGAATGATCATACAACTGTTTATAATTATTTAAGAAATTGTATTTTGATTAAGTCTGTTCATCTTAATACTCACTTAACATGTATTACTAAACTCAACCAGTTGTGTCTCAATACCTGCGTATATTCAGAATCTACACAGTATATTCTAACAGTGGGGGGTTTTGCTGGGGATGGTGGTGGGTTTGGATTTTGGGTTTTTCTGTTTGTTTGGGGCTTTTGTTTGTTTGGGTTTTTTTTTAATATAAGAATGCCCTCTCACATTCTGAGGCCTTGCTTTGAAGTCTTTAGAGCCTCAAGCCTTTCCTAGACTGTTAACCTGGAATGATGGTTTTGTTACCATAGTCTTGAGGGTAGGGAGGCTCTACAGAGAGACCTGGACAGGCTGGAGCCATGGGCTGAGGCCAACTGGAGGAGTTTCCATAAGGCCAAATGCCGGGGGCTGCCCTTGGGCCACAACAACCCCCAGCAGCGCTACAGGCTTGGGGAGGAGTGGCTGGAGAGCTGCCAGTCAGAGAGGGAGGGTTGATTGACAGCCAGCTGAACAGGAGCCAGCAGTGTGCCCAGGGGACCAAGAAGGCCAATGGCATCCTGGCTTGTGTCAGCAATAGCGTGGCCAGCAGGGACAGGGAAGGGATCTGACCCCTGCACTCGGCCCTGGTGAGGCCGCACCTCGATTCCTGTGTTCAGTTTTGGGCCCCTCACTACAAAAAGGACATTGAAGGACTCGAGCGTGTCCAGAGAAGGGCAATGAAGCTGGTGCAGGGTCTGGAGCACAGGTCGTACGGGGAGCGGCTGAGGGAACTGGGGGTGTTTAGTCTGGAGAAGAGGAGGCTGAGGGGAGACCTCATCGCCCTCTACAGCTACCTGAAAGGAGACTGCAGAGAGCTGGGGATGAGTCTCTTTAACCTAGTAGTAAGTGATAGGACAAGACGGAATGGCCTCAAGTTGCTCCAGGGAAGGTTCAGACTAGGTATTAGGAAGCATTTCTTTCCAGAAGGGGTTGTTGGGCATTGGAATGGGCTGCCCAGGATGGTGGTGGAGTCCCCATCCCTGGAGGGGTTTAAGAGTCAGGTTGACATATCGCTGAGGGATCTGGTGTAGTTGGGAACTGTCAGTGTTAGGTTAATGGTTGGACTGGCTCATCTTCAAGGTCCTTTCCAACCTAGATGATTCTGTGATTCTGTCTCAGTGCTAGCAACACCTGAATTAGGCAAAATAACCTTAAGTCCATTCACACAGTCCAACTGCACATAAAGCAACAAATATTCAGGCACTCTACTTTGGACTAGTTCCAGAACTGGAACCAGAGTTAACTGTATGCTAGGAAGAAATTCCATCTGATATAAAACTGTATACAATGAATTCGATGCAAAAGACAAAAAGGTATGGGTGAATCTCTTACTGTTTTAAATCTTAAACTTGGGTCAAATGTGCATCCTCATGCTACAACATGATGCAATAGGTAAAATAATAGCAGTGATTTGCTAGAGCTTGTCTTACTCAAGATGTTTTTTAGAAATTAAATATCTATTTGCATAAAACAAGTGTGAGAATCATAAAATCACTCTGGTTGGAACAGACCTCAACCTTCTGCTCAAAGCAGCATTAATATTTGAATACTCGTTAATGATACAGGTTGTACTCTTAACCTTGCAGACCACTAATCGCATGTAATCCTTAATCAAATGCACTCAACTGCCTTTGATAGGATTACTTATCTGCAGAAGGATTTCTGGGACCAGTTACTTGCCATACATTATTCCTAAGCATGGCATATTATAGTACTTTCCAGCTACCCCTGTAACCAGTATCACACTTCCATTTCACTTTAAATATCTCTTAAGCAGGTACTGTTTCAAGAGCAATTTTCAAAGTGGACCTGCTGGACTGTCATGGTTTAATCCCAGCTGGCAACTCAGCCCCACAGATTTTCTTGCTCCCTCCCTCCCAGTGGGATGGAGGAGAGAATTGGAAAAGTGAGAAAACTTAATTTAAGTTTAATAGGTAGAGCAAAAGCTGTGCACACAAGCAAAGCCAAACCAGGAATTCATTCACCACTTCCCATCGGCAGGCAGGTGTTCAGCCATCTCCAGCAAAGCAGGGCTCCGTCACGCGTTACCAATTACTTGGGAAGACAAAATGCCATGACCTCAAATATCCCCCCCCCCCTTCCTTCTTTCCCGTTTTTATTGCTGAGCGTGACCTCATATGGTCTGGGATATCCCTTTGGTCAGTTGGGGTCAGCTGTCCAGGCTGTGTCCCCTCCCAGCTTCCAGTGCACCTCAGCCCACTCACTGGTGGGGTGATGTAAGAAGCAGAAAGAGCCTTGATGCTGTTTAAGCGCTGCTCAGCAATAAGGAAAACATCCCTGTGTTATCAACACTGTTTCCAGCCCCATACTAGCTACTATGAAGAAAATTAACTCTATCACAGCCAAAAACAGCACATGTACATGAGTAGATTTTGCTATAAAAGAATAGGATGGAGTGAAGTGGGGGGTGATAAACCAGTAAGCGAGGCAGGAAGCACAAAGTTCTATCTTGGTTTCAGGTGTGTTTCACAGGTTGATGAACATAGGATAGAGTCCCTGCTCTGAGAGATACCTATAAAACCAGAGAAATAAACACAACTGGCACCAACAGTACTTTAATCATCAATGCCAGTGACTGAACATCAGCAGAATAAGTTTGGGAACTTGTGCTGTAGTATTGCATTTTATTTTGTTCCTCCAATTTTGCTCTGATGAGGATCTCCATTTTGGATTTGTTTTCAAGTTTACACCTTTCTTTCATGCATGAAGTGATTTAATATGGAACAGCATTGCTAACGATAAAAAAAAATACCACTGAGACAAAAAAGAAAGTTGAAATGCTTTATAAGATCATGATTACTCAACACAAGCTGAATTACAAAAGAATTCTGACATGTTAGTTCAGTAACATCCCTCTGTTCTGAAGCATGAAATACAGTAACAGTTTATGTATGCTATGTGGCGATATCCACACTAACTAAATAGAGAAGAAAAACATCTTCTTACGAATGATTTTATTTAAATATTTATTACCTGCTATTTTAAATAACTTCCAATATTATTACAACTTAATTAAAATGAATTTTATTTAATACAACTGAAAGAGAACATAATGCCTTTATTTACTTTGTTCATTTATTAGGATTTCATGGTCATTTTTGTTTAGTGTGGATACTTTACTGTGAATCATAAGAAAGCTATTTAAGTGGTAACAACAGCAAAAAGATATATTAACAGCCTCAGAATATAGAGCAAGAAATTGACTTTAGCAGCTTTGATAAAACCTTAGTCTTAGGCCTATCAGAGAGGCATTTTTAAACACCAGTATTTTAAAAATACACTGGAAATCTTTCAAATGCTACAGTTCAAGCCATTATTTACATGCCCTCCCCAAGCATTCATTAATAGCCACTGCTATATGCTAGGTTGCATAGAGGGCCTGTCCCTATTTGACCTGATATACCAGCTCTTAAAAGCACAGGGTACTCCAGGAATTTTACTCTTAATTATTCACAAAAAGAGTTAGATTCAGACCTCTAAACTTTCCCACCAGTGTATAAGTGGCAGAAGTCCGGTCATATGATGGTGCACATGCATCAACCAGACAATCATGCAAGGAACATGGTTGAAAGATGCAGGTAGGAAGCAGCAAGAGACAGGAATCAAGCAAGCAATTCTAAAGCCAGAAATTATATATCAGACAGATCCCCAAATTGACAGAATATCTTCACCGGCAAAATTTCCACCTTCAATATCTTTATTTTATAGTTTTGTCAAGAAACTTGAATATTTTTCTGATTAATAAAGCTGAATAATTGACTCTACTAAATATTTAAGTTCCCTTTTAACACCAAACTATATTGCTGTGTTTTACGAAGTAAAATTTTATTAAATAATACTTGTTTGCAACAAAACTAACTGCATTTCCATGTCTGGTAACCTTGTATAGTGGTATAGTATTTGGCATTCTAGTTGAGACAAGAAGCTCAATACCTGACTACCAAGTAAGAAGTCACTGTCCTGGCACCTTCTCAGAGGGAAGAGTGAACAAATTGCAAGGAGATGCTCTCATGGTATCTTACAAAAACAGATATGCCTTGCTAGGGGCTACTGCCATATGAAAAGCAGATGGTTGGTTTTAAGTTTTGGTCAAGGTGCAAAACTACTTTCCTGACAACTTTGACTAGAAAACAAACAAAAAACCCCCAACAAACAAACAAACAAACAAACAAAGAGTTGTGAATGTCAATTATACTGTATTGTATACAGAGAATGATATCAGTATACAGATGGCATGAGATCAGCACACCTCAAAAACTTCTGCATTAACACACCACAGGTAATATGAAAATAACCAGTGTGGCTAGTTAATAACATTTCTGATATAAGGAAAAAGTACTATCAGACTGAAAAGGACAATTACAGCCATTCCCTTCTGTTCTAAAAGCAAAGGTAGAAATTATGTGTTATGTAGAACAATTACTGAACATTATCACAGCTCTGGAACATACTATCTCTAATTTTAAAGCATAAAGAAAGGTTGAGAGATTGATCCAGAAGAGGACATACAATTAGATACATTTAACAGGCCAGTTAAGTTGCAACACATTAGGATAAGAGGAGTGATAAATTTATATCAGCAAACAAGAAGGCAGTAATATTTAGTTTCACCTAGGAGTTGAACTATTGATATTTTATGCTCCATGGGAAAAAAAGGCAATAGGCTTTTTGTCACCATCATCTTTCCCCCCCGCCCCCCTCCCCACATCCCCTGGCAACACAGGACCTAAGAATTATAGAAAAATGCTCTACAAACAGTTTGGGGGTTTCTTAAAACATTTATTTATTTAGAGAAGGATAATGGTCTACAGGCCCAAAATGTTTGGGGTTTGAGTGTGAAGAGCCACATGTTCTTCATATTCTTATAGCAACCACCATAACAAAACTCATTCATGATGTGGCCTTTCAGCACCACCACCAAATAAAACCTGACATATAAAAATATCCATGTCCTATACTTCATAAAGACAAATTTTCTTTGATTAACCCTAGCTAAGGCATGAATTAATACCATCAGACTTACTAGCTGTTTCACAAATACGCATTAACACCAAGCCTGGTACTACGTTTTCAGACATTAAAAAACCCACCAAAGGATAAAACCACCAAAAATAGGGAAGATTTTGCAAAGGCTTTAAGTTCACACAGAATTAGTCCCACCAAGTTAAGAAACCATCTAAACTCATGCAATTCTGTGAAAAAATCAGGGAAGTATACAATATGCTAGCAATTCAAGAGAGGAGATGGG